CCCCCCCCCCCCGCACTCCACAGACTGAGTCCACAAAGCACCTACAAGCTCCAACGAAGAGAGCCAAGAAATCCTACCACAAGCCCCACAGAGGGCAAGGCCTCCTGGGCTCCTAACTTCTTGCTTCTGCACCAGCAAGAAAGTCTGGACAGACTCCTCTGTTTACGAGGGCAGACCCACCTTCAGCCCACATGGAGCGGCCGTACCAGCAATGGAAACCATACCAGGGCTGCCCACTCGAAGGCGTCAGGATGTCACGCGCAAAAACCCAGTTCCCCGAGGGCGGAAAAGATGACTGTGTGTGCCGTGTCCTATTAATGGGGAAAGGAAGCGGCATACAAATGACCCCGGAGATGGGCTGACAGTTTAGGTCTTTGAACTCCGGCCTGTGGACCCCCGGGACCAGCTGGGCTGCTTTCTCCCTTTCACAGGCACAGTGATCCCTCTTGGCAAAGCCAGAAGCCCGATGGTAGTTGTGAAAGGCACAGCTAGGAACCAGAGTTTAAGGTCCTAAGTTCTTACTTCCTATTCAGCGCTTGCCTGGCTATAAAATTATAAGCAGACCTCTTCTGGGTGGGGGTGCGAAGGGCGTTCGTGCACATGTGCGTCTGTGTTTCTGATACACCCATGCTTTTTTTCCTGGGACACGATGGTAAAAACAGAGAAGGAGATAGATGTGCCTTGTGGTTGGAGCCTTCTGTGGAGTCCTACTGCCCCTCTAACAGCCCTTACAAGAAGCTGGCTTCACTTCTCTGTACCTCAGTTTCCCATCAGTCAAGTAAGAACAGTCACACTAAGTGTCTCACTGGGTAAAGTGTATGTGATGCGAGGACTGGTACATATTAAGGGCTCGCTAATTGTTAGCCACTACCAGTATTTAGCTGCTAATGCTACATGCCCACTAGAATCTGCAAGTGAGCCCAGGAGCAAAGACCCCTCGCTGGAGCTGCCTCTACCAAGCTCTTCGGGAGGCGCTGTTTATGACTTAGGGTGACTTTAAAGGCTGCTCCACAGGGGCGCCTGGGTGGCTCCGTCGGTTAAGCGTCCGACTTTGGCTCGGGTCATGATCTCGCGATTCGTGAATTCAAGCCCCGCGTCGGGCTCTGTGCTGACCGCTCAGAGCCTGGAGCCCGCTTCGGATTCTGTGCCTCTCTCTCTCTCTCCTTCAAAAATAAGTAAACATTAAAAAGATTTTTTTAAAGGTTGCTCCAAACCAGCGAGAGAAAAAGGAGAGGAAGAGAAAAGCTCATCCTTGTTCTCCTGACCTTCACACACTGGTTCCCGGTCCCGCACGAGTGTTTGCAGGACAGAATTAATAGGCAATTCCTTCACAACCTACAAAGCCATTAAAGTGACCTAAGAAGGCACAGTTCTTTGAAGGAGGGGACGCCTGTAACATTCATCCCTACGAGTTACGAAAAACATTCCAGTTTCTACGGTGACCAAAAGCTCTAAGCTACATTCCTGTCATTGACTCGGCCTCCTACAAAGTTGTCTGAACATCAGTATGTCTCAGACGGAACACGGTGTGTCCCCGATGCTTACGCAAAAGCAAATCACCTGAATGCATCTTGAATACCCACATGTGACAACAGTGCTTTGAGACTGTCGGGCAAACGCTCACGAGAAGGGCAAGAAAACACATGGCAGGAACTGTGTTTCACCTTTGCATAACAATGAACGTATTGACCATGTATTCTTCTTCATTTTTGGTTTTCTGCAGCTCTTCGGCCAAAATGTCACTCATCGTACACTGGAGAAGGTAGGGCACCTCCACGTTCCGGTCCCCGTCAAACACCCCGTACAGGGCCTCCCGGTTGTCACAGAAGTTGTTCACCGACAGGGCTGCGACACACAACCTGCAAAGCAAGAGTGATCGGTCCTAAGGCTAAGACGTCTTAAGTCATCTTTCCTTGCCCAGCCCCACGCTGTTAACAGCCTTGTCTCCTCCTCCAGGACCTCAGACAGGTGAAGAATAAGTTAAGGTAAAGTCACCCCAGCTGATTCATATCAACTAATTTTCTGTAAAGCAAAGAAGAATGATAAACATTGATACTTCACACCTGGCCCCCCCATCGTCTGATTTTAGCTTTAAGTTTATTTTGAGAGAGAGAGAGAGAGAGAGAGAGACTGGGGGAGGGTCAGAGGGGGAGACAGAAAGAGAAGCCCCGCGCTGTTAGTGCAGAGCCCAACATGGGGTTCGATCT